TGTATCCCCATGCGCAATATTTTACGCGCCGCCTAATCGTTTCGTAATTTTGCAATTTTGAGCGGATAACCCAGTTTTTGAGAGCAGCCGACCAAAGCTATTTTTAATACGCCGAAAGGCAATTACCGGCGAACTTGTACGCGTTCGTTTTGTTTTTTTAATTTCTACTAATCCGGCTGCCGTCTGGGCCGGAAATAACGCGATTTGGGCAACAATGTAACTGTCCCGAAGGCGATCGTCGGGACAATTTGGCAGGACGATCGCACCAGACGCAGGTGTTTCGCCTTTGGCACCGCGACAGAAACGTTCTCGACGCTCCTATAACCGTTCGGGCCCGATTTTCATTAAAATTTATTGTTTATCTGAAAATTTCCAATGCGGTTGAAGGACTGTCTAAGAGTTTCACCTTGGGCGTACAAACAAAACAAAAATTAGAAATTTAAAGCGGAATCGGATTGTTCCAAATTTCAGGAGATGATTTTTTTCGGAGACGCTCGTACAGGGACGGACTGCTAACAAAAACGCAAGACGGAGGAGGATAATAAAGATAAAAATCATTCGTAATAAACAAAGTTAGTTTTTCCGAGCTTTTTGAATTTATTTATACATCTATTCGGTTATCAACCCACTTGTTTGCAGAGCCTTAAATCCATCTAACCCGAATCGCTGGACCCAGAATTAAAACCCTAACTTCTGCTCTTCCATCTGCATTCCATCACAAAATACGCTTCGCCACAACCTTCCAAATGAAATGAGTCGGAAAACAAACCCGCACTTGCCACTGTGGTACTTCCTTACATTCAAATATAATGTCCACTTGTCCAAAATTCACTCAACATCTTCTATAAATCCGAGAATTCATATAAATCTTTAAACTGCCAAACAATCTTCACCGCGACTCACGTCTTTACCTTTATACCCTCGTTTAGCCTCGCCCCCTCGAACAGTACATAAGTAGAGTAAATTGTAAACCGGTTTCACTTAAACCCTGATTTCGACGAGACATTATTGAAAATTGACATATTCGAAAGAAGCTTTTCTGAAACGTAAGATGTTTTTCTCAACGTTCTCACTGCTATCAGCCGATACGTGGTCGACATCTATCTCTCTTGTCCTTTACCTACGAACAAACTATTGGTTGTTGGATTTACCCACTAACGAAGATGATCAGAACCTTTTTGCGAGGTGGAAATGGATGAAAAGAAAATAAAATAAATAAATAAGCTTAGTTGAATGCATAGAGGACAACACAGTCACACATGTGCTATGCCCCTGTGTAGCTACACTAGGAACCACTATCGAAGCTGAAAGACGAAGTTACATAAAACTCTGGGGTTACAAGAGGTTATTTGGGTTGCCTAGACTGACAGTGACTCTGCCAATTTGAATCTTGAATATCGTGGGTATAAAATATAGCTCTCCAAGAAGTGGTATGCGGATTGAATAAAGAGCGCGATAAATAAAAAATGGAATTTTGCATATTGTATTTATTTTCCGTATTTTCCACTTTTCCTTGCTAGTTCCAGCAACGTGGAGGCAAAAATAACCGACTTTTTGATGAGGCTCCAGCATAAAATGGCAGGTTAAACCAGCCTTAACGAAAAAAAGGCTCATTATGCTTATTATCGTCTAATAAACGGACTATTGGAATAACCGATCTTTGCAAAATGTATGAATAAATAATCAGCAAAACCTAAAACCCCAGGTATGAAGAGTGGAAAATTATTCATCTTGTCAACAGTCTCCAACATTATCTGTAACTGTTTTGCCATATGTTTTTGACAGAAGTTCGAGGTTGCAGTAGATTAGGTGTCTCTTAACCTAAATTTAGCTTAAATAGTTCTTAGCGTCCTTTAGCGTCCAGAAGATTCGTAAATAGTAAAAGTCAGTTTCGGGTTCAGTGATTAGAAAGCGAGTTATCATTATAATTATTATATAATTAATACAATTATTATGAATATATGAACAACGTGATTATTCCAAAACTCTGCAATTTACGCAAGCACCATACAACAAAATCTTGAACAAATACTAATATCCGTATATGTATTTAACTACATGTGAGTTTCTCAGATCCTACTGTACTTGTCGAATAAAAGATCAATGGGGAAAAAGTGTTGTCTTTACCGAAATTTGTTGTTATGGTAGCGTAAATGATGATTTAAAAGTGAACAACAATCAACAGTAGTAAGAGTAACAGTAAATAAACTTTTAAATAATAAGTGAATTTCTTTAAATACTATTTAGCACATTTTATGTCACAAGATGACACGTCTGCTTAAAATTCAGTCAAGGATTAATCGGAATAATAACCTCTTTATTAGAAAAACATCCAACTTGATCTTTAAACATATTTAAATTACTACTCGATGTGTTTTTTTTTTGCTATATGTGACCCTGCGATACAGACAACTTATTGGGTCATTAAAAGATGCCTCCGGGAAAAGAGTCTGAGACATCATTGTTAAATACTACTTACTAACTAATTTTAAACCACGTGTTTCGAGAAGAGGAAAAGATTTTAGAGCAAGATATTGTTAAGAAGTTAAGGCATGTCAAAGCGTGAACTATAAGTTGGCCCATGACCTTAAAAGCCTTAAAATTAACACTTTTTGACTCTAAAGCAAAATTTTAAATTTTCCATACCAAATGATCTGCAATAACATTTGTTTTTATTCCTATGGAGTTACGGCTCTAACGGCGGTGCAGGTCCTTATTTTGACATCTCGTTAACATTATAATCTTGCTTTTGACATCCAGAGAGAGATTAGGCTTCAATTCCAGTTTTGCTTCAAGTCTTGAAGTGCACCTTGCAAGTCCGAAAAAATAATGTCGTAGTTGATCTTCATGAAATCAATCCAATTTAAGGTTAAACGAATACCAAAGATCTTTGTCGAAGAAAGATACATTTATACGATACGTCCTTTCTAGGGCTCAGCCTTTGAGGCGTTCGTAAAAAACAGAAAAAGTCTTCTGAACATTTTCATGAAAAATTCCATTGAATTGTCATGATTTTGATGAAGAACATGATTCTTCCAAAATTCAGACAACCTAAGTAAGTAACATTCAAAATCTTCTAATATCGGTATATGTATTTAATGCATGTGAGTTTCTGCAGATCCTGTAATATCCTCTATGGACATTGGTGTACTCTGTACTCTATTGTATATTAAACTGTACCTCTGCTTTGTAAACTATCAAAAAGCGTTTGATAAAGTGAACTAAAGCTACCGGTGGAGCATAATGGAGGAAATGGCAACACCCAAACACCTGGTTCACTTAGGCAGCAACCTCGCAATCGACTGGATTTTGCAGGCTACGAAATTTTTACTATCTTGGTTAGTTTTGGTTAGACCATGTCATGATCAGCGACTACCAAGCTAAGAAAAAAATACCGAAAGAATCTATCACCAAAACAAAGTTGATACTCTCATCTTCCGTATTGCAACTTTAAACAAAATAGATAAACACCGAATAGAGGCTTTCGTGGACCGATCATCGAACCATCCTATCCGCGTTACAAGAAATTGGTCCACGTACAAGGCTCCTAACTAGAATAAACCACATGTATCTGAAGTACCTGGGGCATATAGCTAGAAGATCAGAAACAATGGAACGACTAATCATAGAAGGGAGAGTTGAAGGCAAACGCCAAAGAGGCAAGTCTCCAATTAGCTAAGTAGACCAAACAAATCCCTTAATAATAATGATGCCGAACGGATTGCACAAAATAAGCACTTTTTTGAAAGGTTAATGGAAAGAGGAGGAATTCATGATTTTTACTCAACTGAAGATCCTATAGAGAAACTAAGGAGGCTAGGGAACAAATATGGATTGACAGGTTCGCTAATTTCGAAGGCTTTTACTACGGCATAAATACTTTTGTTCATAATAACACATCAACTTCCGACAGAAATTAAAACCTGGTTGCTCTCGATGCTAACCGCTTACAATAGAAGTTTTTACGCCAGTAGGATTCTGCTGCTTTTTTCTTCATTTAAAGCATTAGTCGGGAACCCCGTAACTAGTGTCTGGAAGTGAATGTTAGATAGTTGAGGGATCATTCTTTTTTCTACTCCCGTCTGTAAAATATCTAATTACACACCAATCTAGCATGCGGGAAGCGTCACTTTACCACGGGTTTGGGAACAATCGAATGTTTTCGGCGATATTTCCCACGTCCTGAATTTTGAACTTTGTCAATTCAGCCATATCAGTGAATGTATTCGTGTTGTTTTGCGAAAATGTACGCAAAAACTAACGGTGGTAGAAAAAGTATAGTATGCAACAGGTTCGGTAAACTTTTTATTACATTTACAGAAATATGGATCTGTAACTTCAATGGAACCTAGAATATGGCTTGTAGAATATCAGAAGTACTGTTAATAAAACGTCCTAAAACACGTTAATTTTTCATTCCTCCATATAATATATACTGATCATTTAAGTAGAGAGCGGAGACGTCATCCAAATTCCTCCTTGAAAATAAAATACCAGATTTTTTGTGTTAATCTGTAAGTCCACCCTGATTGTCTACGTAAGGCTCTATGTCAATGACGTCCGCAATAGAGTCCATAAATATATTAAATAATGGCGGAGAAAAGAAACTCTGGCAGATCTACTAAATTCAGAATGTTCCTCGATTTTGAATAGTCCAGTCAAAATTGGCTTTTCCGAGACTAAAACGGCATCAAACCTGCAGCAACAGCGTTTGATGTTCACATTAATTCTGGACAACTGGGTAATTGCGCATTGGCGCATTTTAAAAACGCTTTTAATAACATCAAAACATTAAATTCTGTGTACCAGAAAAGCGAAACGGCATCGCGCGCTAATGGACGTTGGAACTTCAACTTTTTATCGCTCCTCTAGCAGAAAGCGGGGCCGGAGACCCGGCAAAAGAAAACCGAAAAAAAAACCTCGCCGAATTTCGCGGCAAAAACAGTCTGGTACGGTTCTGCGCGCGGGTAACGCTATAAAGATTCATCCCATTACAATAAAACTGTCATTTGTCTCAAACGGTGGTCCACGCAGTCAATTTTTTTATACTCGGACCCTTTCGAATCCGCGCGAATCAGGGTTCTGCGAAGTTTGATGACTTAATTTTTCTGTGCGAGAAGAGTGCGGACTTCCGGGAATTTTCGAAAATCGCAGGTAAACGATGATTGTTTTTCGGGTCTCAGATTTTCCGGGAAAAAGGCCCCCGTTTGGCGGCCCCTAAAGCGACGCGCTCAGTGGAACGAAACAGACATTCTTGTGGTTGCCTGTTGCCGGGTCATTTGTTCCAAAGCATTCGTGATTTTCGGGCCTTTCATAGATTATTAAAGTTGGCCGCGGAAACTCCTGGCGTACGACTATTAAATTGCATAATTGATGTAATAAACGCGGCTTACGCAATCACACGGTAGACGGGTTTCTTAGACACTTTTTTGTCCCTGCATTTTTTTCACAGTTTCCAAATAAAAAAAAGACAGCGTAAAACATTGCATGTCAAAAAAGAATCTTTATTCGTTACATAAATTTTTCCTTAAATTTAGTTAAGAAGAATCCCCCAATCTAGTTTTAGAAAATAGAAATCTGCGCAATAATAATACTTCCAAAATATTTCATTTCGCATTTATTTTGAAACACCCTACATATAAATATTCAAAACTATTTATTTGATTTTGGCCAAAAATAAATAAAATAAGAACTTTTAAAAAGCCTACCCCAGTGGGACAATAAAAAAACTCAAATTTTGGTAATATGTTTACCTTTTTGCAAACGGTTAATTTAAACGACTGCAAAAACCACAAAGTATTGTTTTCTAAAAATCAGTGGTTAACGGATGCCCGATTGCAACATATTTAGTTTTCCACTCGTTTTAACGTACTTGCCACATCTGTCTTCAAAAATTAACAGAGCAAATAGAGAGCACACATTTTGAACGGCGATTCCATGCCTAACCGCAGTTTTTTTTTACACAGTTTTCAATGTTTTCGAACAGTTTTATTTCGAGTGAGAGTCTATTGCGGTTACTTTTTAATGCCCAAAAGTGTAATTTGTATTGATTGTATTTTTGAATTTTGTGTGAGTTTCAACAATGTTTACTATGCCTAAAGCTTTTGAAATAACAATAACGTCAAAAAATAACCTATGACCTGCTTGATCAGACTGATTGAAATGGTTTGCCTTTTTGCGTTAAATTACGGCAAAGATTTTGATATTATTGATACCAAATTTCTTGTGGGAAGTACTTTGTCAAGTTTTCTAAATAGGTCTACTTTATTAATCACATTGGCACAGCAGCAACAATACATTGAGCAATCTTTCTAGGAGACAAGTACCCCAAAGCTATAGAGATGTAAAGAGAGTTAACTGAAGCACAAAATCTATAGCTATGGAGGAATACTAACCAATGATTCATAAAACACTCCTATGGATTGATTAAATAACATTAATCCAAATCGTGAATTAGCAGTTTCCAACCTTTTTCTTATTGATGTGTGGCTGTGTGAGTTATTAATTATCTCCAAACTATCATAACAAGACATTATTTCAAAGATTTTATTATATAAAGCTCCTAAATTGATTAACAATTACGGGTGGAGTTTTTATACTACTGAATGTCAGAAAAGGTAAAAAAAATATTTGTAAAGTTTTATTGCATCTATATTTGGCGATGATAATTATAAATGTCGCAGAATTGGAGCTGGTTTGGTTTTATTTCTGATTGCTTTGGTTCTAACTACGGCTACTTTACTATAATACTATAATTTTCATACTTTGAGCATTGTTTCAAAATCTGTTGTCAATAGCATGTTTAAAAACCAGTTTATTCATTTACTAAACACTTGGGCAAATATTACTTAATATTTCTATCGTTTACATCATCACAAAGAATTATTCAAGTACGCAAATGAATTGCTTATTTTCAATCATTATTATTTTATCAGGAAGCCGTTATTACTATCGAATCGTCTCCAAGTTTTTCTCTTTAGACAGCTCGGTTTTGCTCTGGTGCATGGTGTACAGTTAGGTGCTGCTCGCTGCATTCTTTGTTAAGATATTCTAGCCCGTTATCTGACTGAAAACACTCGATTTTCTTGCCTGTTTGGTTTTAAATGGGATTTTTGTTCGTTTCGAAGCTTTAAAGTTTTCCTTTTTGGTAGCACAATACCTTATTAACATATATTAATTATCGTAGTCGAGAATATGGGGATAATGTTTGAATGTTAAAATGTAAGGGAAAATTTTATAGGTTAATACCCATTTGGTCCCACTGAACTTTATTGAGCAGCTGCTGGATTCTAAAATTAAAAAAAAACATTCGTATTATTTTAAAATTGGTTTATGCCGCGAATTTGTTTAAAATGCAAAACCTCTAACACTCTGTAAATCGCGCACAAAGAAATTAAATTTTGAAACACCCTATATGTAACAGCTTTTACTAAAATCAAGTTTGCGTTCTCGCCGGCTCAAAATCAATAACAAAAGTTTATTTAAAAACCGAAATGAAAAATTAACGCGATACAGCGGTATACTTATATTTATCTAGAATTCTTTCGGAGATAGTTTCAATCATATCGTGGATATTATTTTTCGATATTTGTTGGGATTTTGTCGAAAATGATGAATTCATTTTCTTGTTTACCGTTGGTTAAGAATCGTGAATGTGTTCGATGGTTCAAACATGTTGGCGTTACTTTTTGCTGTTATCAGCTGCTTGGATTATAATTATATATAGGGTGAGTCGCAAAAGTCGGCCAATGACTGATTATTTGTATGAAAATATCGAGCCCGTTTTATGTCACTACAGTGGTGTAAAAAAAAAACAAGAAAACTTTTAATAATATTTATTACAGTACCAGACTCCACTGATATATCTTTTTATCACATTTAACAAATGTAAAGAAATATTTGTTTGTTGAAATACATGCAAACTTTTTATAATTGCGTCTTATTTAAAAAATGACATTTTTATATACGTTGGTGTTAAAAAGTAAGGAAACTTTTAATAATATTTATTATATTAACAGACTCCACTGATATACCTTTTTATAATATTAAGAAATGTAAAGAAATGTTTGCTTGTTGAATTACATGGAAAAAAGTCTGTAATTGCGTCTTTAATTATTTCTAACAGTGTTCCAATGTTTTAATATCAGAGTGCACGCAAATTTCTGCAGAAAGCTTACAAAAATTGATTGATTTATTCCTAGAAGATATCAGGCAGACAGGAGACTATGCTCTAAAATATTAAAAATAATAAATCATATTTTCGTAAAATGTTTTTCCATAATTATATAAATGGTATGATCTTGTTCCTTTTTGGTGAAAATGTCTAGCAAAATGCAAATACTATTAATGTTGCTTTTTCATGAATGTGTCACATTTTGAAAAAAACTCTGATTTTGATTCAGAAATGATGAACCAGCGATAGCCAGAATTATACCCGCGTTATGCTGGTTGCCATTATTTCCGATTATTGCAAATTACAGGTTGCTAATTGACATTTTCACTATACGGTATCGGACAGAAATATCTTGTTACCGTGAGAATATAATGCGTGAAGTTTTCATTTTTAAATATAGCGATTTATTTAAAAAGTATCGTAATTTGGAACCTACTTTTTGGATATTTTACAAAACCATAATTAAGGTATATAAAAAATAAATAGACATCCTCCATCCATTTTTTAAAAATCTTTGTTGTCGCAGGAGTTTGGAATATATTGAACAAATATGAGCCAAAATAAGGTCACTACAAATGTGTCTTGAAAGAGTTAAGCTTGCGCTAAGCCTTTGCGATGGTTAAAATAAATTTTTAAAAATTTTATCAAATGCAGCAACTGCCACAAAATGACATAAACCCGGGATGGCGAACATTTTTGGATGTCCGTGCCACAAAGTCATAAAAATTCTTTTTCTAATATATAACGTGTCACAATTAAGTTTCATTCGAAATTACCAAAGTATAATGAAATAAACAAAAAAAGAAATACTTCTTTAAGCAATTTTTTATTTATCAATGATTTATCAAAAAGCAATATGCTAGAAACAAAATTCACGTTAAAAACAATTGTTTTTAAGATGATTTTTGTTGCTGTACACAAGATGATAAAGATTAATATTTGTATATTTATATTTGTATTTGTATATGTATATATATATATATATATATATATATATATATATATATATATATATATATATATATATATATATATATATATATATATATATATATATATATTATATATATATATATATATATATATATATGTTCGAAGTGTATTCGGAGCGCGAGCATTGAAGATGCCAAGTGAGATTTTGGCGAAACGTCTGCAGGATTCCAGTCGGATGCAGGATTCCAGTCGGAGTTCAACGAGCCAACGGATGATATCCCGGAGTATAGTGTCATCATATATATATATATATATATATATATATATATATATATATATATATATATATATATATATATATATATATATATATATATATATATATATATATATATATATATATATATATATATATATATATATATATATATATATATATATATATATATATATATATATATATATATATATATATATATATATATATATATATATATATATATATATATATATATATATATATATATATATATATATATATATATATATATATATATATATATATATATATATATATATATATATATATATATATATATATATATATATATATATATTTATTTAATTTTATCCAATAATCTATGACTTTCAATCATTTCTATGTTATTTCCAAAATTTTTGTTTCATACTGTACTTGACTAAAATTCAACTAATTTCCAATAATCTATGACTTTCAATCATTTCTATGTTATTTCCAAAATTTTTGTTTCATACTGTACTTGACTAAAATTCAACTAATTTCATTTCTAATTCAATAACATCTAGGCACTCAAGGACTTTTAGATTTCACTTCGTTCATTTTAGTTTTTTTTTGTGCGTGCCATCAAAATTTTCAAACGTGCCGCTTGTGGCACGCGTGTCCTTAGAATATTAGTTGTATTGTTAATTAACTACAATTAAAGTGACAGATTTGTTAATACTATAAAAAAACGATTGTCTTTTCCGACTCACCCATCTGCTGAATAATAATAGTAATAATTATAATCATAATAATAATCTAAATAAAAAAAATAATAAATAATAAAAATAAAATCTAAAGGAAACCCATTTAATTAATAAAAAAACTTGTTCTTCGATTAGTTTATTGCCGTTGCCAAGGAAACATACTAAAACCAGTGTTTAGGTGGTATTTTTACCGCCATTAAAAATGTTAAAAGCTTCATTAAACAACAACAAAAAATAATGCCGGCCCGCGCTGTTGCGTCACCCTGTACAGTGACGTTGTCGGGAGACGCCACACGTCAGACGCCTAAGTGTCTAGGCAGTCAGTATAAAAATGAGACAAGGCGTACCTATCTCCCTCCCTTTCTTGCACACACTTCTATGATTCTAATAATAAAAGCTTTAGTCCAAAGCAAACCACTGATGTGTTGAGACCCAGAACATACAGAGAGAGAGCAACAGTTCACACTTCTCACACTCCTCCCCACCCCCCCTCACCAATACCCTTCACGCGTTCTCGTTTCGAAATTTTTTTTTCGAAAAATAATTTTCCGTTTCGAATTTTCAGAACGCGAGTGTGTTTGACGTGGGACGATAATAAATTTCGTCGAAACGAAAGAGAAAACGAGGGAAAAAATGTTTTCCGAAATTTTGATGGTGGTTTTCGTGTGTTACGCGTCGTCGGTCGCGACCGCCCCCAGCTCGTCGAGGGCCGCCGCCGTCGACGAAAAAGGGCTCGAGACAACGATAGACAATTTTTTGGACGGCTACTTCGAGGAGCATATCAGACAGCAAGTGCACGACGTCCTGGAGGAGTTTTCTAAAGATCCGGTGCCCGACTTCGACGACGCCGACGCCGACGACGACGAAGGGGACGAAGTTGGTATATATGACAGGATGCAGGGGGATCAGCCAGAGGTAGTACACTATGGAGGCCATAATTTCACTGCCGAACAGGTCGCCGCCATGAAAGAAAGAGATAGGTCAGTTTTTGTTTTTTTTTTTTTTTGTTACGTAGGATTCGACGTCCCCCCCCCCCCCCAGCATTTCATCGCGCCAGACATGTTTTTTGATCACGCGATATTATTTTTATTTTTTGCCTTTTCCAAGAAGTAGATAAACAATCGACTAAACGGTCGACGATTTTTTCGGCAAAATTATTGAAATTTTATTCATATAAAAAAATCACCACAAACGCACGTAAACAACTTAGCATACGAGGCTGCACGAAAAATACACTTCTATCATTGTGGTTATTTTGTGTATTTTTCAAATTTACGAAAAGCGATTCAATTGTACTTTTAAAAAAGTGTTTCATTTAATCTCTTTACATCAGTCATCAGTCGAAACTAATAATATATTTCGATGAAGGGAATTTACGTTCCTTTAATTTCGTGCAGTAGAAAGTTCCTGGAAAAGAGTTGCAACTAATATTGTTTCTAAAACTGAAAAAATAATGCTCAACAACAACGTCATTTCATTATAATTCTCGTTTAAAAAAAATGGTAGTTAAAACGCTTTTCCAGGGAGCCCTTCGATTGTTGTGAGGAAACGCTTTTAATTTTTTATGTGACTTGTAAATAAAAAATATTTAGAAAAAAATTTTGCCAAATGTATATATTAAAAATGTCAATAGAGAAACAAATCATTTTTTTCTTATGACAGCCTTGACATATCCTGTATAAAACTGAAAAAACCTTCGTAATATTAAAAAAAAAGCAAAATAAATTAATATCACTAAATGTATCTAACCAAAACGAACCAACTAAAGTTGGAGATCGATTTTTTCTGTGAGGTGTAACTGTAATATATAAATGTTAATCAACGGAAACGCACGTTAAGTGATTTGAAAGCAATATTGCACCTTTATAGCAGTGTTTTGTCTGTCGAATGTTCTTTACATGAATAGTTTGGCGATGGTTTTTTTTGTAAAAATGCAAGTTTCTCGTTTTTTGTCGTTTCTCTTTGCAAACTTTGCGAGGTTTATTCTTAATATTGCTTTACTGCGATTCGATTTTCGATTTTCTATACTTTTTCTGCACAATTTGCTACATTGTTTAAATATTTAAGAAGAAAGTGCCATCAATCGACACTAAAAATATATTTCGTTGAAGGAAATTTACGCTTGTTTTACTTCATGCAGGGAAAACTTCCTGATAAAGAGTTGCAGCTATTTATTTTTTTTTTCAAACAAGTCTTGTTATCGAAAAAATATTGCTTAACAACAATGTCGTTTAAAAAAATTATTACGATGAAACTCTTTTTTATGCCTTGTCCGTAAAAAAATATTTAGAAAAATGTTGGCAAATTTGTATACTAAATATGTCAATATAGAAAAAAATATATTAATTCTTAGGACAATTGTCATAAAAAGTTTTCATTTTTTAATCTCAACAGTAGTTACCAATTGTATAAAATTGCAAAAAAATTGTAAAAATTAAAGAAGCAAAATAAGTTAATATTATTAAATGTATATTCGTATAAAAAAAGTAAAAATTGTACTTTTTTAACAATTCATTCCATCGTCGTTGCAAATTTTCATTTATTCATTTTTTAAGAGGATTTGTGTTGTAAAAATTAAAGTTTTTTTTGTCGTTTCTCTTTTCAAACTTTGCGTTAGTTATTCCTTATGGTTTTCTACACAAGTATTGCTTTAGTGTCGTTAGAGAAAACAGATTTTACTGTTGAGTTATTTTTATTTTTTACCTAAATGGGCATCTAAAAAATAATCCAGAAATGACGTTTGCAGATTTTTTAATTTGGTAAGAATATTTTTATCATATGATATGTATTTTTATAAATAATATATAAGAAATACATTTCATGAGATCAACAATGTAGCTTGTCTCATTTTTATTAGAGAAGATTCGAAGGAATTGAATCTATTTAGATTAGGGTCTGAAAAAACTTGTACTTTAACCTGTTTACAAAAAAAAAAGAATATTTTGTGGTCAAAAACATATTTTTTAAGTTTAGCCAGACAATAGCCTCCTAAAGTACAAAATTGACAATAACGGAAGTATTTTTTAAAAAAAACCCGATATTCGAACAAGCGAAGGCGTGGGGGGAGGCAAAAGTTTGCATAAATCTAATCGAAAAAATTTACACACACGGCGAAGCGAATAAATAAAACAATAAATTGTTGTGTCAATTAAAAATAGAGTATCTCGAAGGACGCCCACGCGTCAGTTTCAAAATATTTACGCTCGTCATATTTTTCCCCGAAATTCGTCCTGAAAAAATAAAATTTCGGGGCCCCCCATGAAAACGCAATAATAACCGTTGTTTTTTTTTGGAATTTTCTAGAAGGGACGTGGACAAAAGGTATGGAGTTTGTTTTTCGGTTGGCCGTGCTTTGAATTGCATGTTTTCGCGCTGCGTTGTCGTTCTTTATCGATTGGCTTGTGTTTCCTTTTATATATTAATTTTCGTGCGGGATGTTCCCGAAAAAAAATCTAATTGAAATATCGCGATTGTCCCCCCAGCCACCCCGCTTCGCTGCCAGCCGCTTTTCTCGTTTTTTTTTTCGTCGGTAAACAAAAGAACTGCATTCGATTGCATCTGCATGCACAGATTAATTGTGGGCACCTGAAAAGATTTTCAAGGTCGCAGAAAAATGCGCTGCGCGAATATAGGGCACAGCGGCTATCGAAAGCGGTACAGGGTGTCGTAAAAAGCGACCAAATTTTAAGATGAGTTTTAAGCGATTAATTACTTAGAATAACACCCTTTAAAATAGAAACTGGTTAATAAATTAACCGTGCAAACTTATTGACCAAGATTCTTTGATTTCTAAGCGCTCGTTGAGAGTGAAAATGTCAAGAATTTTCTTTCCTCTTAAAGTAGGCAAATCGGAATATTTCTATACAGACAAAAATAAATGATTGCCAAAAATATGGAACAAACTCAATTAAAAAGCAGGCCTTGGATTTCAAGAATCATAATATACAGGGTGGGTCGAAAAGTAGATGTCGAACCAAGTGCCTTACTTTTACTGGAACGCCATTATTTTAAAACTCATTTTCGAAGTGCCACGTCAAATTTTATGAGCAAAATGAACAGGTAAGTAGCTGGGCACTAGTAAAATTCTCGAAGTGTCATAATTACATTTCTGTCAGTAAAAATAAAGTGAGTAAAGTCGAGAGAAAATTTTTCATTTCGGGCGTCCCCCTTAGATGCAATAAAATGTATCGGTACGATTATAGAGAAACAATAATTAATAATCTTACTTATACAGAGGTGTTTTCTAATTAAATATCAATAATAAATAAAATATATTTTTTAATGTCTGTAATACCCCTTTAGATATTTTAATAAAACTTGACACACATGTACTTTGTATCAAGAGGCATTATTTAGTATACATCAATTTTTTAAAAATACTCCAGGCGTTCGGAATTTCACCTGTCTATTTTGGCAGACAAGGTACGCCACTGATTTTTCTTGGAATACAAATTATTTCAAAAGAAATTTAATTTCTTGATTTTTTCAATCCGATGTACGGTTTTTGCTTAAAAAAATAAAAACCTCTTCTCTTCATGGTCATAACAGTATCGTTAATATGAAAACATGCAGAGAAATTAGTTTTAATTTTTAAGTAAGATCCGTTCTACGGACTAACAAAATATTAAGACATGAAATCTGCTCATAAATGAATGCAGATGTCGTTATTTTTTTGAAGGAAGAACTTTTTGTTAATAAATTAATAACAACCTTTTTGAAGTAGAACATAGAGACTCTGTGTCCTCCACATTGCAGGATACACGCTTCAGTTTTTTTCTTCATGTTGCTGAGTACTGTTTGAAGTATATCTGTTTCTTTCTTATTAAATCGCAGGAAGCACATATACGATTCTTCAGCTCTTATACAGTGTTAACTGATATGCGATAAACTAGACCAGCGGTCGCCAAACTCTTCAATGTGTTGAACTACTTTGTTAATTTTGGAATAAACAGTGAGCTACCCACACGGAAGCCACATGACAAAGATTTTTTTGTGGAATTTTGAAGCTTCTCTAATTTTTTGTTTGTATTGCCTCCGCGAGCTACCGTCGCTCGCGATGGGCAGGTTGGCGACCGCTGAACTAGACTTTTAAGATACCCCCATAAGAAAAAGTCCAAACTGTTTAAGTCTGGGGACCTAGGGGGCCATGGTTGAGGTCCGCCGGGACCTACCCATCGTTTATTAAATGCGTGATTTAAATGTTCTCTAAAGTGAGCAGGCGCGCCGTCATGCGCGAACCATATTCTGTTATTAATTAAATATAGTACTCCTTCTAGCAATATTCTTCTAAAAACCGGCGATAATTATGACCATTTAGCATTTCTAGAAGGAGAAACGGTCCAATTAAGTAATTTCCAACAATTTCAGCCCAAACATTTACCGAAAACTGTTCTTAATGTTTAAATTTTACAACTGCATTACCGCAATTTTGTCCAAAAACCATTGAATTAACACGCCCGTACAATAGAAAATCGTGCAAAATTTTCCAAACCACCAAGACATGCGAGATATTGAGATTATTTCCAGTTTTTCTAGTACTGAGTTCAGGAGTTTCATCAATAGAATTTAAAACTGTTTCTTTAATTTCTGAAATTCTTACAGTTCGATGGGTCCCTTTGAAATGATTATTTGCCTTAAAAATTCCTGTTTCAGTCAATCTTCACTGTACGTTTCAAAATGTTGACTTATCTAGTATGACTCTATTAGAAAAGCGCTTTTGATGTAATCGCCTAGCTTGCGGCACAGTGCCATCAGCCAAACTATACATAAAATGCATTTCTGTCAACTCCTCGTTAGTATTTTTTTTAAATTAAAATTTTTGGATATATAAGTCAAACAAACAACTGCCTTGATAATATAGTTTATGATTCTTACAGGCACAGCCCACTACAACGATAAGAAATAATTATAAAGATTTTAAAAATATACCTCAGAGTTTAGGTACTTCGTATTCGTACTTCGATTTTTTGAAGTAAATAAGTAAATAGGAAATATTGTTGGGACCATGCAGAGAAGGGGTTTTTATTTTTTGAAGCGAAAACCGTACATCGGATTGAAGTAAATCAAGAAATTAAGAAATCAAGAGTGTAAAAATGATTTTTACAGTGGCGTACCATCAATGTCTGCCAAAATAAACGTGTGAAATTCCGTACGCCCGTCACTGGTTAATTAAAAAAAAAGTGGTACACTAAATAATGCCCCTTGATACATAGTACATAAAATACATTCATTCATAAAAATATCTAAAGTGGTATGACAAAAAAAATTATATTTGATAATTTCACCACCCTGTATCTCAAAAGTTAATGCGTTTAGGATATATGTTAGGACATGAAGTTTTTTTTAATGGACCCAAAAATCCCCTCCTTAATTATTGACATTCAATTAAAAAACACCCTGTATAAAGCAGATATTTGTTATTTCTTAAACTTTACATTTTTACATTACGTACATCAATTTTTGTTTATCTTAAACTAACTTTATTTTGTGCAAAATCGCCAACACCCTTATTTATACGACAGTCTAAGACACCGCACTTTTTTGGAGCGTTAATATTCAGCTCAGTTTGTTTTGCAATAATATCCAAGTAAAGTATTCTACACGGTTGTTTAATTTGTTGTGCGGTGTCGCTCCTTGTAGCACACAGAAGCCATTGCTCCACAAAATTATCGTTCCAGCTCACGAGGGCATTCTCTTGTGGGAAGCTTTCCAGAAACCATGCTGCACATATACAAACATGTTCCATTTTCTCTGTATTTTGTTTGTAACCCGTATCCAAACTTTTGCGCTTTTGGCCACATGAATGGACTTTTTCTGAATTCAATTTTGTACTTTTACATATTTAATTTCCTACCCTAATCGAATTATTGGCCTACGCACGAAACGGGAGGGGTAATTTCCATAATTTTTAATGCGCGCGAAACGAAAGAGTTCAGGTAGTTTTTGAATTCCGCACGAAGCACGACGCTCTAAACAAGAAAACACGATAAAAGCAGGGCATTTGAAAAAAAATCTTTTATTAATTGCCTTATTTCATATCTAAATTATAAAGTTTAAATCATCTAAATTTTGAAGTTTTTCCTAATAGATTTTCTATTTTAAATATCAACAGAGGAAAAAATCCAGTGGGGTTTTATCCGAAGATCAATTCACTGTCCGGGAAATACCGTATTTAAATATTCACCCAAAATGGGACGGAGCACCATCCTGTTGAAACCAAATCTATCTATCTGGCATATGAGGCCCCAGTAAGATTTTGGTCGATGAAATAACGTCCAATATTTTGTTATTCAAAATCCCTGCCCAAATATTGTGACTGTCCTCCCAACCATCGGGAATTATTTGTACTCCAACATCAGCAATTTTGTTTATTTGCCGTACCGTCCAAACAAAACAGATCACTAAACATTATCTGATGATGAAAAAACGGATTTAAGTTGCACAATTCCATCGTAGTTTCCCAAAACTGTAGTCTATGGTCGCTATCATCTTCGTTTAGCTCCTGTAGTGATGGAATCTTCTACGGATGATATTTTTCTTCTTTTCGTTCTGTTCGTTATTTGAAGCTACTTGATGGGGATTATCTTCTAATCAAATTTTTAATAAAATGTTTCTATAAATTTCTCTCTCTATTTTACTCACTGTAAATTTTGTAATGGGTCTTTCTGGATATTTTGTGTAAAACAAATTTCAAACTTCTTGAGTTCTTGTTGTGTCTAATTATCCAATAAAAATAAAATTTCAATCCTCTGGGTTTCAGTTAGGGACGCCACATCACTTTCTTTACTGTCAGAAATGTAACTGTTTAAGAACTTTAAGAACTTTACCGATGCTATAGTCTTATTTCCTCTTATACTCTAGCCATACCATTTAATAGCATTAAACTGACAATGGTTTGGAGGAAGTCTTGGTATTTTGTGGCCTAAAGGTTTTGCATATTCGTTTTTTTCATTGTTACTCTATGTTTTGTCCTTCGTGAGAAATCAATGTTCTTTTCCTCAGATTTGGTAATAGCTGATGATAATCTCCGCTTTGATCCAGCGTGTACCACAATATATCGATGAACTTGTAAACATAGTGCTATCCTGTCTGCTTTTTCTAAACGAGCCTTTACTAAAAACCCCAGTTTCATCAATAATTACGGTGGGATGAGCATGTTCTGCTAAATTTTTATTTTTGACATATTCCCTCAAAAAAAAATCGCTCAAAAGCAATCCTTTTTACTTATTACCTGTTCATTTCAATTTAAACTTTCTTTCTTTATGTCTTAAAAAAGAGGTAAAAACAAAAATTTCAAATTATTTAAAGAACAAAATTAGAGA